GGGCGGGGGTGGGGGGGAGGGCTGGGGGGTGGGAACATAATTAAACCCATGACATTCACCTACTCTACCAAGCTAGAAACAGAGAAATCATCCTTGATTTTCCTCCTCTCACCATTTCACATTAATCTATGAGCAAGTTCTTTTCTTTCCCATCAAAGTCTCCCAGTGAGCCCTCCCTCAGTTTGATCTTATTCTTCACTCTGGATCCATCTTCCTCACAGCCCCCAGTGACTTCCTGTGTCATTGTGCTGTTTTAAAATGTCCAGTGCCCCCCACTGCCCAGGGGACCATGTCTAGATTCTAGTTTGATACAAGGCTCTTTACTCAGATTCCTCTCCAGCTTAATTCTGCTTCTTTATTCCATGGATTCTGGACCTTAGCCATACAGAATTTCTCCATGTTCTCCAAACATGTTACAACATTCTGTCACTTCTAAACACCCTTTCTCGGCCCATTTTCAAACATTTAGTATGGAGCATACTCTGTCATAATCACATTACATATGTGATTTGATTACATAATGTGTTTACATACGTCTCTCCCTAAAACACACCCAGTGAGCATAGCCCAGTTATCACGTGAGCGCTCTCATATCCTCTTTTTTGCTGTTGTTGTTTTTTGTTTTTTTGAGATAGGGTCTCCTCCAGCCCAAGCTGGAACACAGTGGCACAATTATGGCTCACAGCAGCCTTGAACCTCTAGCTCCATCTATCCTTCCATTTCAGCCTCTCCAGTAGCTGGAACTACAGGCATGCACACCAGACCTGGCTAATTTTTGTATTTTTTTATAGAGACAAGGTTTCACCATGTTGCCCAGGCTGGTCTCAAATTCCTGGCCTGAAGCGATCTGCCTGCTTTGGCCTCTCAAAGTGCTGGGATTACAGGTGTAAGCCACCGGGCCCTGCCTCTTTTACTCCTCTTGATATGTCTAGGAATTAGCATATTTCTTAGCACCCAGAGATATTTGATGAACAAATAGGGCCTTGGTTCTTTCGCTACCTTTGGTCTTGGATAAATTGCTTAGCCTCGCTCACCCTGTTTTCTCATTCTCAGCAGTGACATTCCACAGTCGCCGTGACCTCTGTGTGCTGTTCTCATGTCCCAAGAGAGCTTCTCTCTCTTTATGGTCAGGAACAATCAAGTGAATTGCGAAAGAATCTGGCCAGTGACACAGCACCAGCATTTTCCTGAAACCTCTTTGCAAATGATTTTTCAGCAAAAGGCTCGGTTAGCCAGTAAGTTCCTTGGCAAAGTCTCAAGACACGATGGAGAACAAGCCCAGTGACTTGCTCTGTGATGTCTGCAAGCCTAAACAATTTCTGCATCACCAAGCTCCAGAAAGGAGGTTGTTCCCATTAGGTAGCTCATCTTAGAACCATAAAATCTGAGGATTGCTAGAGACCTTAGAGGTCATCTGTTACTTAATCGCCCTGTATACATCCATAGCACACATGTAATGTAAGGAAATTGGTGAGACCTGACCTGTAGCAAGGCCTATACATCAACCCCATCATCAAGGGGCTGTTTTATGTTCAAACGCCATTTCTTTTAAGGGAATGACTGCACTTCACTCTATTTCAATGAATAACATAGTTAATAAATTGTTTATGCTGCTTCTTAAATGGATAACTCTAAGCAGTTGCTTTGTGCATTTTGTTGAAAACACAATGAGAGTTAATCTACTCTGGAAATTTGGCTCTCACATGACATCTACCAAAAAAATTAATAGTTTAAGCTCAAGGTAACAATGTCAGCTTTTTAAATGTCTGGAGGGTGGGGAATAGCTACTTTCTAAGAACAATTATAAGCATTTAATTGCTCAAGAGACTGATGTTTGCCTCTCTTACAAGAACACAAATGCTGTTTGTAGGTCAGAGAGCTGTGTTTCTGGTGCTGAAAGACAAGGGCATGGGTTTGGCTTTGCAGATGTTATTGTTGAAGGGAACGCTGCAGGCATTTGTGGGCGTTACATTCCAACCAATAAGTGCTGGCCTTAGTATATTTTTCATCAATATGACCTTCAGGTTAATTAAGACAACAAATCCTTTTTGCTATCAGGCCATGTTACCTGAGTTGATAGATATTTTTAAGGGCCTCCAAGGAGGATCATCATCAGAGTAACATTTGCAAAAATAAAATCTAACATTCAGACCGAGGGAGTAAGCGTTGAACCGCAAAAACAATGAAATGAGTAGCTGCCATTCAAAAGTGTTTGCTGTCATCTGCTGGCCAGACCGGAAAACTACAGCAACATTCAGGAGCTGGATGTGAAGCTGTCACCGTCCAGAGACGGAGGGATGTCTGTGTTCCTGTTTGCTATGCCCAAGCAAATAGGAACTGACCATTCTTGGAGCAATGACAATGCAATTTCTGAGGACTGAGTAAAGAAAGCAGTATATTTAAAGACAAACATATGAGTAGACAATTTCCTTAATTGGCTGAAAAGACCAAAAAGAGGAATTTTTTTTTAATCATTTCTGAATTTTTTGTGGTCTCTTCCAAGCCTGGGATTTGGATTTAATAGCATAACACAAACACAGAAGTTCTAGGTGGTTCTACTGGTCACAGGGTGGAATGTATAGCAACCTCTCTGAGCCTCAGTTTTCTCATTTGATAAACCAAAAATTACTAAACTCTCATCAAGCTCTTGGAGCCTATAAGGGTCTTGTTATCCTTTCTGGACAAAGATAACAATCTCACAGGCTCTTGCTGGCTGAGTCATTCATTAGAAAGTCCAGCAGGGTGACTAGATACTGCCAGTCAGATTCCAACTGAAGTCTAAATACACGAGACCCTTTGCTTAGATCAACTTTGAGAATAGCCATTTCCTTGGAGGTCAGTGATTTCAGGTGGAAAGTGAGAGAAGTAGAGAGGTCTGTGCAATTCCCTAAGAGAGGCAATGGACAGCTTCCCTCCCTTCCTGCCAAGTGAAGAGCAGATAGATGCTTCCAGCTCTCTTGGCTCTCCATTCCACCACCAGCAACTGCAGATTATCCTAGCAGGATTAATGAATCTTCCGTGGACAGGAGGAAGAAGGAAGTGGTGCCACACACACACACACACACACACACACACACACACTTCTTGTGGTTGCTAATTATTTTTCTACATAATAAAATATAATAAACCTTGTAATGACCCATGAAAATTTATATGGCACATATTAATATCTTAGAACCTGGGTTTGGTTGCCAGCCCCTTGCTTTATGGCTACAAGAAATTGAACAGGAAATGATGTGTTTGTTGACTTCCTTCAAGTATTCTGACATCTGGACTGGAATATCTGCTGGCCATGTGCTAAGCACTGAAGGTCTTCAGCAGTGAAAAAGACAGACATAGTTTGCACCCTCATGGAAGACACAGTCTATCAGAGACAGAAACATAAAACAGAAGCTAGCTGGGGTTGGTGGCTCATGCCTGTAATGCCAGCACTTTGGGAGGCTGAGGCGGGAGGATTACTTGAGTCCAGGGTTTCAACACCAGCCTGGAAACATTTAAAAAAAAAAAAAAAAAAAAAAAATAAAAAAAAAGCATCACAAACCTCAGTGCCACTGTTTAAGCCAGCACAG